GGGTTCAATTCCCGGAGGGAGAGTTTCTCTTTTATTTTTTCCCCCCTTCTCCTTCAGAGAAAGCGGTTATGGGCACTTGAGGAGGGTTTTCTTTTGCTTTGATTCATTCATTCGGCTCGAGGAGGTCTGTCCACAGCAACATTGCAGAAGTGGAGGACCTTTTCTTTTGGCCCGCCCCCCCCCCCCCCCCCCTGGAAGATTCGAGACCTGCGAATTTTCTCGTGTGCATCGAAACTTGGTAGATATTTTGATCTGAGCAAATACAGTGCGCACAGTGTGTGATGGCTCAAATTCACTAACCAAATGGCTACTTCATTTGTTGGCGAGACGCAGCGTTCTGTCCTCCAACTCAAACAAGTGATCAATCAAAGCTCGCTTTTGCTTCAATGACCATGTAGTAATAATCAGTGCAAAACTATCATCATGATTACTTCAACAATCAAATCTGATGTTTCTAGGCACAATGTTGATATCGAAGTTTCTAATAACCGATGAATGAATGAGAAACACTGGATTAAATTGAATCAATCGTATCAAAACTTAATCAAAAACATCGACAAAAAAGAAATGAAGAAATTTCTTGGTGAATATTTACACATCAAAGAAAAGAAAAAAAAAAACAAAAAGAAATTAGTGTGTAGTAGCGTTTGAGCGGGGGAAAAATAAAAATAAAAAATGGATAAGCAAATCCGTTATTTATATTTTTGTGTGTTTTAGGTTGAGTGTTATTTGGGCTGTTTAGCTTTCTGACCAGAAGATTTCTTCTTAAGTTTTCGGTCTTTTGAGGATTCGGAGGGGATATCAGGAGGGGTGATGGGATGCTCGAGTTCGAGAACTTGGTCTTCCTCGTTGTCGCGAGGGAGTTGAGCAAGGGAGGAGTCAGGCCGATCAGGCTCCTGATCCGAGCGCTGACCCTCCTGGTCATCCATCACGGCTCCGTTCGAGCCCGCGGGATGAGGAGAGGCTTGGTCGAGAGAGAGGGAGGAGGTGGAGGTGGAGGGGACGCCAACCACCGAACTGACAACCCGTCTCGAATCAGTCACATTGAATAAATCATCGATCGGCGGCTTCCTGCGGATCATCGAATCCGCTAGCGACTTCCTGCCCGCTCGCTTGCCTTGGCTGTTCTCTGTCTGTGCTTCTGTTCCGCTAGGATGTTCTGTGTGTCCATCGTTTTTGTGTTTCAAAAAAAAATACAATTTGTTCCATCCACGTCAGCATGTATAAGACTCATCAAACTTGCTATTTTTTCACTGACTTTGATGGATACCTTTGCTTTTCGAAGGATTGAAAGTGCCGCATTTGGGACAAAGGTATTCTAGTTAATAAACAGGAGAGTAGTTTTTTTTAAAAAAAAAATAAGGTTACATCTCAGCAAACATAAAAACAAGCTGGATGACGTACGTATGTGATCGAGTTCTTCCTGGCGGACCAGGCCATTATGAGCAAAACAATTGATACAGATGAGGGCGTATTTACTCTCTGGCCGGGCCTCGTCGTCGCCGAGCAAGACTTCGGCAAACCGATCGGCCCATCCTCGTCCGATAGAAGGAGACGGACTGTTGCTCATCTTCTGATGCAGTTGTTGGTGTGCGGCCGAGGAGGTTGCTCCTGTTGATGGTGGACCGGTCTGGTAGGCTGGCGAAGGATGGTTATTCTGGATCGGCGATAGGGTGCTCGATAGATTCGCCGGGCTCGATGAGGGCGGTCGCTGTCGATGTCTCAGGGCTTCATTATTAGGCGGCGTCATTGTCATTCGACCGAGTTGATGGGGATTGCTAGGGGACGATTGCTTTTGACAGGATCAATTCCAGTAACTTCAGTGTGTCATCAAATTAACAAAAAATGGGAACAACTGAGAGCCCAGTTAAACTGACAGGATTGAGTTTAGTTTTTTCATCATATCGATCGAGTAATTCCTTGGTTGAGTAGTAAGCCGTCTTCTTCTTAAGTTCCTCGACCTTATCCCTTAGTTGTTTCTGGAGCAAACGCAGTCTCAGTTTTTCAGATTCTTGTTTGCGTTGATACCAGGTTTGAACGAGCCAACGCAAGGAGATGAGTCTGGGTACAAAAGATATGAGAGAGCATTAGTTTTAAATTTGTTTGTTTGTTTATGATTGATATAGACTGACCCGATGGGGATGAGTATGATGGGTAGGACTTGGAGTGCTTGGTTGAATTTGGGGTTGGTTGATAGCAGCAGCAGTGTTTTTGAGTCTGGGCTGAGTAGTTTGCTGTTGAGGTTGGTCCATTTGATGGGTGTCCAGCCCAAGTACCATAGTGAAGAGTAGATTGCCCAGAATAGGCTTGAGTAGATCGTGATAGTCGAGGTAGTCGATCGTTGTCGCTGGTCGATGGCTTTGAGTCTGTCCTGATGCTTTTGGATCTTGAGTTCGAGTTCTACTAGTTCCTTCTCGAATAAGTCTGGTGTTGGTTGGGTTGAGGAACGAAGGAATGAGAAGATGCCCATCCTCAGTCTCGGAATCTGATTGGTGGTACTTAAGTAGGAGACTGTCTTCTTCCCCCTTTGACTGTCTTTTGACTTTCTTTTCTTTGGGAGGCTTGGCTTACATAATCAAGCTCCTGTCACACATCCCACTCCTGGACATACACCTCTGACTTACATAGTCAAAAATATATTGTAACACAACCATCACTTCATTTCATCCTCACCAAGATCAGTCTCAAAAACAAACAAAACCAAAACCAAAAACACTCAAAATGTATGTAGAAAATGTAGTCAATACAAAGTAAAAGGGGAAAAAAATGAAAAAGAATAGAGGAGGATATCGTATTGTTTTGTCATTTTCTCTAGACGGGGATAGCGGAGGAAGCAGTAGAAGTAATAGTAGTAGTGGCAGTAGGTGGAGGACGGAGCGGGGGAAAGGTTTGCAAACTTTTGAGCAAGTTTTTATGCGAAAAGTTTTGGATGAAGAGCACCTGATCCGAGATTTTGAGATCTTTGATGTTGATCAGATTGGTATTATTACTGTTGAGGTAGTGGGATGGTTTCGGGGCAGGATTGCTCGTCCGATGATGATCGTCTCGGATTGGCTCTGATTGATTCATCCTCAGTGAGCGTGGATTGGATTCAATCAGATTAACCAAACTCGACATCATCTCATTGATGCAAACCTATCAACATAAACAAAACTCATTAAAACGAGCTTCACCTTGGACACTGCAGGGATGGCAAAAAAAAAAAAAAACTTACCTGTTGTTTGACCGTCAACCCGCTGTGATTCGAAAACTCATTGAAGATCAGTGGGATTTCTTTGATCAAGTTGGAGACCTTAGTCTCCAGCATCTCTTCGATCTCCTCCCGGTTTTGAGTCGAGTCGACTTGGTTTTCCAGGCTTCTCTTCCCCCTTGCAGTCCGAGCTGCCGTTCCTCCATTCGATGCATTCAAGAATTGTAATCCTTCGACCACCTTGACAAAATCCATAAAGACCTGTGTAAAGGAGATCAACTGAGAGTAGGTTTCTTCATCCGGATTGAACAGCTCATGCACACAATGAGCCAACTGTTGACTCACCTTGGCTCCACCCGTCAAATCAGAGCTTGGAATATTATTGGACTTCCCACAGAATAACTTCCTGATCAGCTTCAAATCTGCCCTCAAGATCGCATCTGGGGCCAATTCCAAGACAACGATCTTATGAGCTTCAAAGATTTTTGAAGATTTCAACAATAACTGGTACTCTTCAAAGAAGCGACCTTCATAGTGTGCTACTTGAGCCTGTGAGGAAAGACACAAACTGATAATTAGCACAAGCAGATTGCTAAGAAAGCTTGTTAGTAAGACTTTCTGACCACGTACTCTAGCAAGATAGATCCAAGTAGATGGAATCTTTAAAGTTTCCACAAAAAATTCTTCCACATCACCCGTCACTGCTTTGATATTCCTAGAAATTAATTCCTTCAGGGCTCGTGCTCGACTGAGAATATAACATGTTGTCATCAGCATTTCCTTCTCGCACAACAACGAGCAACACAAGGCACTACTTACCCTTCTGGATCTTCCAAGTGTAACAAGATAAATCCAGCCCATTTCATCATCCCTAATTTATTCAGTTGGTCCGCGTATTGACTCGTCAGGAGATCAGCCCAAACACTCCCGCTTTCCAAGAGGCTAGCATCATCTGAATCGGTTTCGATATCTCTCATAATCGGTTCTCGATCTTCAAAGTCTCTCAATCTCATCACCTTGGCGATGAGAATATAAAGATGCCAAGGCATTCGGTAATCAAATGGAGATGGGCCAAATCCTCTTGGCTCTAAAACCGATTCGAGCGGGTATGTGGGATCAACAAAGACCTTGATGATTTGAAAGATTGCATCGTATATTGGTTGGGCTGGATCGAGCTTCCATCGATTGAGTACAGACTCGGATGCGTTAGGAGTTGATGAATCCATGTACCACGGGATCGGAGGTGGTGCACATCGACCATTCTTGAACGCATCTTCATATGTCTTGATAGACTGCCAAAAGTTCTCGTCTGAGGCTAGGAACCAGAAATGGAGACCCAATGCTCGCTTCCAGTCCAATCCTTCGCTGATCCCAATATCTTCACTGTAATCAACCTGCAGGCCTTTCTTTCCGCAGCCTTTAGATACCGTCACGTTTCCAGAAATCAGCTCGTACGTCTTCCTCAAATCTCGATCCATGTGAGCATCCACTCGGAGCTGCCGCCAGATCAGATTTTGTTGATGCACGTCCGACTTGAAGGTCCGATCACTCCTTCTGCATTGTGCAATTAATGTTGCCAAGCGATAGTTGCCCATTTGGATGGCCAATTCACAAGCTCGCTCAATCTGATTGCCAGTCAACAGCTGAAAGATCGCGCTGAATTTGCCCTGTTGACGGCTTGGCGATCTTACGTCCTGTTCAACTGACGGGGCGACGGTTTTCTCAAGCCACTTCGTGAAGGCGTCTTCACGTCTAATGCGCTTGATTCGATCCACAGCTTCTGGAGTTGCGCCCTTCGGAATTCGCAACTCTAACTCATCGAATAGAGCCGAGCAGAGACCCCAGGTTATGGCATCATTTGATCGGTCTGCTTTGTCATAGCTGGCTAGAAAATCTCGAGATCTCAAGTTTGGATTGGTCATCACAGTCGGTACACCCTCCTCCAAGCGAACGGCGGTATGTTTGAGCTGGATTTCCAGCAAACGTTCGGCAGATCTGATTTCCATTGACTAATGCAGAATAAAGTCCGGTGATGATTAGTTTACAGTTCAGTTTCTATACAAAACTGAATCAAGTGAGGGAAGGAACATGAATATTTGAGAGCTCACATTCTCGAAGGCATAACTGGGAATATTGGAAACGGCGAGATGACCGAATGAAGTGTTTTGGCTAGGGAAAACAAGAAGAAACACGCTAACTTCAGAAACAAGCGTCACACTACGCACAAACGTACTGAAAGCTTACAGATTACTTGTGTCCAACATATTTCCAATTTCACCACGGGCAGGATGGATAAGTTGGTTAGATTGCCCTATCCAAGAAACTCGAAAGGATCTGGCCATGCTCAAGCTTGGGCTTTTATTTGAGATAAATTTCCCGGAAGCTAAAGATTTCGACAAGGGGATATACTGCGGATATCTGAATCTGACGGGTACATTGGTGTGCTTCTTGACTGTCAGGTGAGGCGAGGGAGTCGGGTTGTTGCCGGCGTGCGTATTGGTTATCTGACGCGGCTCTGGAGTCTGCAATGGAGTTTGGCGCGAAACGTTGCGTGCTCGTCGGGGGTCTTCAGGATGTACAGCTTGAGTCTTCGAAGGCACCTTGGGAGTGAGCTTGACCTGAGAGCGCGATGAATCTGGACGGGCGAACAAGCTAGCTTGCATTACTGCAACTTTCCGAGACTCGAGTCCAATGTGGTTTCTCCAATCTGAGGTTGATGTTTGCTTGGATTTGTCATTATCTAGCGAGTTTTCAGAATCGACAACCTGCCTCGGGCGCTTTTTGCTCACTTGCTTCACGTTGAATGGGCCTTCAAGCTCGTCACTCCCGGTAACGGATGCAGTGGTTTCGTCCTCAGACCTGTCAATTATTCGACCTCCAGTTGTTGCAATATTTTCTTTGTCTAGTGGCATACCTGCCTGCTCGTCATCAAATAACAAAGCTCGAGGAGGTCCATCATCCTCGTTCTCATCAGACATGCTATTAGTGGTAGATGCAATCGCATGAGGTTGGCGAACTCGTCGATTTGGACGATAATCTGATCCCGAAAGATTGTCTTCGGACTCGGAGCCAGTGTATGATTCACCGTCTTGTTCTTCATCTTCATCGTCTTCGCCATTGCTTTCGTCATCGCTCTCGTCAATCCCGTAGGTTGTAAAATGTTCGACAGCAAACGTCCACTTGCCAGTTTGCGCATCATATTCGATAAACTCAATGTCTTCACTCTTCATCAATCTCTTAGTAAACAACTTGACACGGGCGTGGTTAGGATCTTTGATCGGCAGTCGAGTTGATTTGTCTAACGTCCAGCAGTTGTCGAGTGTAATCACTGCAGGAACATTCAGTCCTTTACCAACTGGTGGTTTATCGACTGGATCGTCAGGATAAACACTGCACAGGGATTGTTTGAATACAATGATTTCTCCACATAGTTCTGTTGAGAAATCTTCAATCCCACTGAGGTCCACGGTCTCTCGGAATTCGATCTGTCCATAGCCAACCCTACCAGCTTTAAAGCTGGGGACTGCTCTGAGGTCTTTGCGCTTCATGATGCGCAACTCGTCTATCGCTGGAATGGTCCAATATTCTCCTTCTTTAGCCTGAGACTTCGGACGGATGATCACTTCATCCTCCATGAGCGCGCGATCCGAGTTGATTTCGTTCTCGGTTGGTATTAGTTGGTTGGAGCCAGAAGGGTTGGGAGCGGTTTTGGAGTTGGTGGGAGATTTCATAGCTGGAGTTTGCTTGGCTGCATGGGCTGGATCATTTAGCTGGCCTACACTTCGGCTTATGGCATGTGAGGGTCTTGAGAGTACATTCTGGGCGGACGATTCGGCGTCAGGGTCGAAGATAGATTCAGGTCGGTTGTTTGCGTTGATTCTCCTAGCAGGAGGAGGTGTGCCCTGGACTGAGGATGGGGAACCATTTACGGTTGTACTTCGGTTGCGGAATAGTGTTGAAATTGTGGACGGGTCGATTGTGAGTTTTTTGGGGCTGGGCTTGACAATAAACGCTTTGGGGCTTAATAGAGGCTCCTCATGCCTGGAATAAGCAGATGACCGGGACACGACCGACGAGCCGTTGGATACTGAACTAGCATTCATAGGGCTTCCGGAGCTCACGTTCTTGACGGGACTTACGGACCGAGCAAACCCACGCAGTTTAGTGATTTTCGTGTTAGGACGTGGCAGTGGCTTGAAATCAATGGTCGGCAATTGCTTTCGAATCGGAATGGCCGGCTTTGAGCCCGCGGAGATGCCATGATTGGCAAATAGGGGGTTATTACCATAAGCATCCTGATCGACACGTGCCTGAAGAGAAGGCTGTTGGGTTTGCTGACTTTGAAACAATCCGTTCTGGTTTTGACTTTGGAACATTTGCGAGTTATTCATTTGACCAAATAGATTCCCACCAGCATTATTATTTTGATTCTGATTGTTTCCGATTCCAAACGCCGAACCCGTTGTCGCAGAGCCAAACAAACCACCAGTGGTACCGCCAAAGTTATTATTGTTGTTTTGGGTGCCTGCGTCCTTGCCAAACAGAGAACCAGTTGGGTTGGCCGGTTTCTGACCGAACAATCCACCGGAGGTCGCATTGTTGTTGCCGCTGCCGAAAATTCCACTACCAGTGTTGAGAGTCGAGTTGTTCGCGTTATTGGGCCCAAAGAGCCCACCACTTGGATTGGTTTGGCCCTGCTGATTGTTATTCATTCCAAATAGACCTGCACCCGTGTTAGGCGGCTGTTGGTTATTACCTCCAAATAGACCTCCTGTTGTTTGTTGTTGCTGATTGTTTTGTCCGAATCCGAAAGAAGTGGTTGTGTTCGTCGGTGGAGTTTGCTGACCAAAAGGGGAGGAACCGGTGGTAGCGCCACCTCCAAAAAGACCGCCTGGTTTCTGCGCGTTGTTTTGGTTATTGTTGCCGCCTATATGTATGGGCCAATGTGAATCAAATTGAAGCTACATTGAAGGAGAAACAAGGTGTGCATACCAAACAGGCCACCCGAGGGCTGAGTGGAGGGGTTGGCGTTGGCGTTGCTGAACAATCCAGGAGTACCACCAGAATTCTGATTGTTTGTACCCCCAAATAGGTTATTTTGAGGTTGGGCAGGCGTACTCCCAAAGATGCCGGACGTCGGTGCAGCTGAAACAGCTGGCGTACCAAAGGCGGGCTGGGAAGTCGTCGATCCGAATATGTTTGGCTTGGCAGCTGGCACGCCAAAGGGAGAAGTATTGGTCGTGTTATTGTTGAACAAGTTGTTAGAACCAAAAGCATTGGTTGCGGGTGCTGCACCTGCCCCAAAGGCGTTCGAGGTAGCTGGAGCTGGTAAGGGAATAGGTTATCCAGGTAAGGGTGACGGGGCTCAAGGAGTTCGAGACGCTGGCAAGGGTACGTTTGGAAACAGAGCAACATACCTTGGGCTTGACCAAATGGACTCGGATTATTGTTGGCCGGTTGACCAAACATGTTACGATTGGCAGCTGGTTGAGCTCCAAACGTGTTCGTCGCAGGCGCGCCACCAAATATGTTAGCTTGTGGTTGTTGCTGTTGACCGAACGCGCCAGCTTGTGTGCTGTTGGTATTGTTGTTGTTGCTGCCAAACGAGCCAAACGTGCCGGCCTGAGGTTGCTGCTGAGTGCCGAATCCTGCTCCGAGTGTGTTGGAGGGGACTGCAGTTTTTCTACCTTGCATGTAATCTTGAAAGCGAAGCTCTTCAAAGCTGAAGTTTTTGTACGCGTCCATAGCAACGATCGAATTGAAGGTAGATTTCGAGCTCGGCGTAGATTCGTTCTCAGCCAACGTTACGGGCGCATAGGGAGGGTTGACGGTTCCACTGGAGGGAGCTGAAGATCCGGCAGCCCCGAATGGGGATGCAGCTGTGAAACGAATTGGAAATGAGACATTATGGCGCTTCCTACTGTGGAGGTTGAAGGTGGTGGTTTGAAAGAAAGAGAAAAAAAGACAAACCGTTTTGGTTGAAGACGTTGGATCCGAAGCCAGTCGCGGCACCAGCGCCGAATGTAGGAGTTGGAGCGGCCGGTTTCTGACCAAAGAGGTTGGAGCTAGTAGTGGCTGTATTGTTGGCCGCCCCAAAGGTACCGAATTGGTTAGCAGGAGCAGCTTCCAGAGATGACAAGGGGAAAAGACGAGCATATCGAGTTAGAGAACAGCTATAGACGTGAAAAAAATAAGGAAAAATCAAGTGAATATGGAAGATGTGTTGACGATGGGGACCAACCACCAAAACCGCCGAAGCCAGAATTAGGAGAAGGCTGTTGTTGAGGTTGAGATGCACCACCAAAGATATTTGAGGATTGGGCTTGAGGCTGGCCAAAGATGTTACTGGCAGGAGCAGGTGTTTGACCAAAGGGAGTGGCTGACGCTGGAGCCCCGAAAGCATCTACAAAAAAATTGACACTTAG